GGCCGCAGGGGGAAGGACCGCGCCCCCCCCCCCCCCACGGCCCCCATGCATGAGGGGGGCTGGCCAGGGCGAGGGAGGGGGTGCTGGGGGGATATTTTCTAGGTGGTTTCTCTGCCCCCCCCTCAAAAAAGGAAGTTGCGCCGAAGGCCGCAGCAGCAGCTGCTCTTCATGCGTGGGGGGCGCAAAACCGTCCCAGACGCCTGGGCCCTGCACGGCTGCGTCGCATGCCTCGGTTCGGAGGGGGGAGGTGTCGGATGCCTGGGCTGTGCGTCCGCGTGTCCCGGACGCCTGGGTCGTGTGTGTGTGTGTGTTGTGTGTGCGTGTCCCCGTCACCTGGGTTCTGCACATACGAGTGTGTGTGCGTGTGTGTGCGTGCGCCCCGGCCGCCTGGGTTCTGCATACGTGTGCACGCCCACGTGTCTCTGCATGTGTGTCCCAGATGCCTGGGTTCTGCACGCGTGTGCACACACGCGTGTCCCGGCTGCCTGGGTTCTGCATGCCTGCACCCCCAAGTGCGGGCTCTGCTTGTTAACCCCTTGCACCCCAGGCAGCACCCTGACGCCCCCCCACCTACCTGGGGGCCCATTGAGGAGGCTATGAAAGGGCCAGAGACCCCCGGGACGGGGGCATTTCCCCTCAACCCCCCACAGCTACTCACCCGCGCGGCAGGGGCAGGTCCCAGCCCGGGGGGGGGGCCCCGGGGCCTGGAGACAGGCACAGCTGGGGGCCCGCCCGGCCCGCCACATGCGGCTGCCTCTGGGGTGGGCCCTGGCTGCGATGCAGCTGGCTCTGGGCGGGGAAGGGGGGTTAGGCTGGGCTCTGGAAGGCGGTTGCCCTTTGACCCCTGGGGGAGTTTCGGACAGGAAGTGCAGGCAAAGGCTGGATCCTGCGGACTCAGGAAACAGGAACTGCCTTGGGATGTTTTTCCGGACTCCTGGGCTCCCCGCCTGGGGGAACGGGACCCCCACATGGGGCACGGACAAATGGACGGAGGCAGGGCCTGGCTGGCCCCTGCCCCCCACCCCAGCCCCGCTGGTGCCCCTCACTCCCACCCTGCAGCTCCTTGACCCCTTCAAACGCTGCTGTGCCCCTCGCGCCCGACCTGCAGCCCCCCAACCCTGCCAGT